TCTGTACAGTCAGGAACCATTGTGAAAGAAACGTCTAAAGTGTAAAACTTTACGATTTATAGCTGGACGGAGAAACCCACATGGTGTAAAAGGGATGTTAATCAAAAGAATTTACTTATATTGTATGGAGGGTCGGACTCAGGATCCTAGCACGTCAACCGATAAATTTACCTACAAAGAGAACAAGTTATTTTACTATTATAAACGCACCTAGGTGGAGTCCGATGATGATAATGATAGAGGAAAAAAGATTTTGCGTGGTACAAGAATGGCTGCACTTTACTTGACGTCCTACACTCATTCGATTGTTTTTTCGATTCGATTGTTTCATTCGATATATCGTTTGGTTAGTTAGGTTAGGTTAACCTTACCTAACTAACCAAACGATATATCGAATGAAGCAATCGATTAATCGATATACCGATCGATATTTTCATTCGAATGAGTGTAGGACGTCAAGTAAAGTGCAGCCACAAGAATGAAACAGAGCTTGTTAAGAATCCACAGCACAGGGGAATTAGTGAAAGGATGTAATTTGTAGTAAAAAAACATGTGTCTTCAATTATTTATTATTGTTTTGTTGTGTTTGTAAACAAGTCCATTATAATTCAATGTAGTATTGTTCAAGTTATTAAAAACCTTTCTAAAGGTAATAAAAGTTCTTTTTCATTCATTCTTACTCTCATTACAATTTTAATAACTTGATATTGTGAAATGGATACGATCCTAAAGCCAGACAAGTTTAGTGTAGATCCAAGCTCATCATCTGCAAGTAAGGAATGGACACATTGGCACAAAACATTTCAGAATTTTGTTACCAGCATCACACCACAACCATCCGACTCTGATAAACTCAAAATACTTATAAACTTTATTACTGCGGAAATCAACGAGTACATAAGTGAAAGCGGTACGTATAACGATGCTATATCTGTGCTAAGAAGTATCTATGTAAAACCTGTAAATGAAGTATATTCCAGACATAAACTATCTGCACGTCAGCAGCAACCTGAGGAGACTATTGACCAATATCTCCAGGCTTTAAAATTACTAAGTAAAGACTGTCAGTTTAAAGCTGTCACAGCTGAAAAGAATAGGGATGATTATATCCGTGACACATTTATTGCTGGAATAAAATCTTCTGCTATTCGCCAGCGCTTACTAGAAAATGTTTCCTTGACACTAGATCAGGCATATAGTCAAGCCAGATCCCTAGAACTTGCACATGAACAATCATTAGCTTTTCAATCTTTCCAATCTATAGTAAATGCAACTTCGTCCCAAGAAACTCAAGCGAGCAATCAGAATGTTGATGCAACTTCAAGCAGTTTGGAAAAGTGTTCTCTAGCTGCTGTGACTGAAAAATGTTTCTTTTGCGGTAATCTAAGACATCCTAGGGTCAAATGTCCAGCTAAAAATACAATTTGTCATAACTGTGGTAAACAGGGGCATTTTGCTAAGGTCTGCAGGGCAGGTAAACTACAAACCAAGCAATTGGATAAATCTAAAGAAGTAATGAACTCTATTGACCTAGCAGCTTCGCCCGGTGGGTTAACAAAGAGTACAGTACAAGCCCTAGTTAATGGTAAATCTGTCTCTGCTTTGATAGATACGGGAAGCTCTCTAAGTTTTATAAACAAATCTACTGCTCTTAATTTAGGTATTCCTATAAAACCAGGTAGGGGTACTGTCTCAATGGCTACTACATCAATCACGTCCGACATAACGGGTCAATGCAAAGTAAATCTTGTCATTCTTGATCACTTTTACAAGCAAGTTAATCTTTCATTATTACCAGATCTTTGTGCAGATATAATTGTTGGACATGATATTTTGAAAAACCATGCAAGTATTAAAGTAGTCTTTGGTGGCAACAAGTCACAACTAACCGTATGTAGCGTGGCAGCCTCAACTGTAGAACCGGTATCTTTGTTTTCTAATTTAAAACCGGAATGTAAGCCAATCGCAATCAAGTATCATCGCCATAGCACCGATGATTTAAAGTTTATTGAAAACGAAGTAAGTAAATTGCTGAAAGACGACGTTATAGAGCCTAGTATGTCTCCATGGAGGGCTCAAGCATTAGTAGTTACTACTGAAAATCATAGAAAAAGAATGGTCATTGACTACTCCAGGACTATAAATCGTTTTACATTACTGGACGCTTACCCACTACCTAGAATCGATGATATTGTTAACAAAGTTGCAAATTATGAGTTTTTCAGTACTATCGACTTGAAAAGTGCTTACCACCAAGTAAAGATAAGAAATGAAGAAAAGCACTACACAGCTTTTGAGGCCTGTGGTCAACTCTACCAGTTTAAGCGTATCCCGTTTGGGGTCACTAATGGGGTGGCAGCATTCCAACGTGTAATTGACCAAGTCATCCAAACAGAACAGTTACAAGACACTTACGCCTATCTTGATGATGTCACAATCTGTGGAAAAACACAAGAACAACACGATATAAACTTAAAAAAGTTTATCGAAGCTGCATCCAAATACAACCTAACTATTAATAATGAGAAGTCTTCATTTTCACTGCGATCGATCAACTTGTTGGGCTATCATATATCAAACAAAACTATCAAGCCTGACCCCAGTCGACTAGATCCTTTGAAAAATTTACCTCCACCCAGAGACACCGCATCACTGAGGAGGACCCTTGGTATGTTTTCACATTATGCATCACTTATACCAGATTATGCTACCAAAGTGATTCCACTTGCGCGTACTACATTCCCTTTGTCCAAAGCAGGGCTCCAGTCTTTCGAAACTATAAAAAGTGAAATCATCGGATCTGTAGTAAGCTGCATTGACCCTGAAGCACAGTTCATCGTAGAAACTGATGCATCTGAGAGTACCATTGCTGCTACTTTGACTCAATCAAACCGTCCAGTCGCATTCTTCTCAAGGATACTTTCTCCAGCAGAACATAGACATTCAAGTGTCGAAAAAGAAGCACAAGCTATTGTGGAAGCACTGCGGAAATGGCGTCACTATTTGGTTGGTAAACATTTCAAACTGATTACTGACCAGAGGTCGGTTTCTTTTATGTTCGATAACAACCGTCATGGCAAAGTGAAAAATGAAAAGATAATGAGGTGGAAACTGGAATTGTCGTGTTTTCATTATGATATTGTATATAGACCCGGTAAAGATAATATGGCTGCAGATGCCCTGACTAGAGTATGTTCTTCAATCCAAAATCAAGAAAAACTGTTGATTGATTTACATGCGAATCTGTGTCATCCAGGTGTGACACGTTTGTACCACTGGGTTCGAAGTAAAAACTTGCCCTACTCGATTGATGAAATCAGACGAATAACAAACTCCTGCAATGTGTGTGCTGCTGTGAAGCCTAGATTCTTCAAACACAAAGGGATTTTGATTAAAGCCACTTCTGCATTTGAACGGCTGAATATCGATTTCAAAGGCCCGCTGCCTTCATCAAGTCGAAACCGTTACTTATTAGTAATAGTAGACGAGTTTTCACGGTTCCCTTTCGCTTTCCCTTGTTCAGACATGTCATCGTCAACAGTTAAGTCGAAACTAAAAACATTATTTTCTACTTTTGGGGTTCCTAGTTACATACATTCGGACAGAGGAACATCATTTCTGAGCCAAGACTTAAAAAGCTACTTGAACTCACTTGGAATCTCAACTAGTAGAACCACTGCGTACAATCCAGCAGGTAATGGGCAAGTAGAAAGGTATAACGGCATTCTATGGAAAACAATTGAACTGGCGTTGAAATCACTTAACATGGAAATAAACCAATGGGAGACAGTTTTAGAGGATGCCCTCAGCTCAGTGAGATCATTACTTTGCACAGCCACAAATCAAACTCCTCACGAGCGTATGTTCTTACATCCACGTAGATCTGGGAACAATGGTGTTTCAGCTCCTTCATGGCTTCTCAATTCCGGCCCTGTCTACTTGAAGAGATTCAATCGTACGTCCAAGTATGAGCCACTTGTTGAAGAGGTCCAACTTCTTCACGGGAATGCCGAGTATGCTCATGTTAAGTTGCCTGACGGAAGAGAAACTACCGTGTCTACACGTCATCTTGCTCCGGTTGGTGAGTACCAAACCGACATAGAGCAAACCGATTTTGAGAGTGATGAAAATATTCTATTACCCACTTCTCAACCTGAACCTGAATACTTTCCTAGTCCATCATCATCAAAGAACCAAGAAGATGAAATGAATACTACTGCCGAGAGTTTACAACCTAGACAAGAAGCTTCTAGAGGAGAGAACCATAACACATATCCGAGAAGAAGTTTCAGAAGCAGAAGACCTCCTAATTATTTAAATGACTACGTTCATTAACATTAGGGAGGAAGAATGTAGTAAAAAAACATGTGTCTTCAATTATTTATTATTGTTTTGTTGTGTTTGTAAACAAGTCCATTATAATTCAATGTAGTATTGTTCAAGTTATTAAAAACCTTTCTAAAGGTAATAAAAGTTCTTTTTCATTCATTCTTACTCTCATTACATAATTGTTTTCAAACTTTTAACAAAAAAGACTTTTAGGCCTATAAAAAAAAGTTTTTAGTAGAAATGCAAAAAGGAAAATAGCTTTGAGAAGAATTAACTAACTTAAGTTGGTGTTCTAAATTATGTATGTAGGCTATAGAAGTTAATTTTAAAATATCCATTGATATTACTGTATCATATATTGTAGACCATAGTATGATACCGTAGACAAATAGAATTAAATATAGACCGACAGTAGTGCTGCTGTTAGGATAAGTTCTGACGTCCACGCTAGTTCTGTGGTGTCGTTAACTTGTTACATAGCGTGTGCTTTGTAACTACGGTGGACGCCAGAAATTATGCTAACCACAGTACTGTTGTCGGTCTATATTTAATTCTATTATGTCTTTGATGATACGTACCAGCAATTATTTATTTAACATAAAGTCACAACGTTAAATAACGTTGGATTAGTGTAACGTTAAATAGTGTAAAAACAACCTACAAAAACTTACCCATGCTCATTTTTGTGGTTTTTACTAACACTTCTGTTTTTGACTGTACTTTTTATAGGCCGACCAACTTTCTTTTTCTTTTTCGAGCTCATTTTAGTTGAAGGTTTACTGCTTTCAGGTTCCCAGTCTGAGGCATCCTCATCTTCTGAACCTTCTTCATCGTCCAAACATTTACTGATTTCATTATCTTTAATCCCACCACAACTCATTTTTTTACTCGATAACTCTTGACAGCACCAAATTATCAACGGTACAGTTGAATCTTGAGGTCTCTAAAACATCACAGTTTAAAATTAATTTACTCTTTGGTTGACAATAACCTATTGTTACTAACAGGCCCATAGTATTGTATGATCACAATTTTACCAGGAAGGCCTTTGTTGGAAATCGAGTTATATTTTATATAGTACAAATTCAATATTGATCAACATCCAATATAATTATTTGCTAGGCTTTGTTTTTAATTAACAGATGGTTTATTTTAATTTATTTAAACAATTGAGAAGAGTTGTGGAAAGAATTTTAAAAGTGATCAAGAACATAACAATTTAGTTAAAGAGAAATGTTATAAAATATTTGTTCTTTATCAGAATTAAATCAGTTCTTTATTAGATAATATTTTGTAAAAGTTCTTTATTTCACGCGAGTTCTAACATAGTGGCGACCGTGACAGGACATTATTAGTTAAAATTCAGAGTAGGACCAAGCTTATATTTTACTTACAATACAATGGATAAGCTGAGGTCAATAAAGACTGAAAGGACTCAACTAAGAAGAACTTTTACAAAGTGCAGAAATGAAATGGACAAATTACTGGCTGAAGATATTAAAGATGAAGTAACAATTAAAAGTAATCTAAACAAGTTGCAAGATAAAGCTGAAAGGCTTTTTAAGCTAGATGAAGACATCAAGGAAGCCTTGTTTGAAAATCCTGCAACAACGGAAGAGGACTTAGAAGCTGAGTTTGATACTACAGAATCTTACAGAGACATGTTATCTTCAATGAGAGCTAAGTATGACCATTTCATTATTCAGGTTGGTCTAAGCCAACAGTCAAGAAGTGAAGTCGGGGATACCGTTCACAGTCTTAAATTAGTATCTAAGAAGGGCTTAAGTCTACCTAAATTACAATTAAACCAGTTTGATGGAGATGTAAAAAATTGGATAGGGTTTTGGGGGCAGTTTAAGAAGGTCCATGAGGATCCTGATCTAGAACCTGAGGATAAGTTCCAATACCTCATCCAATCTTTAAAACCAGGATCATCCCCTAGGGAATTAGTAGAAAGTTTTCCCCCATCCGGAACTAATTATGTAAAGGCCCTAGAACAATTAAAAGCAAGATTTGGTAGGGATGACTTTTTAATAGAAGTATATGTGAGGGAACTGCTCAGTTTAGTGCTCCAACAAGTAACGCTAGGTCCTAATACTAAACTATGCCGACTGTATGACAAACTAGAAACACAGTTAAGGGCACTTGAAACTTTAGGAGTCACTTCAGACAAGTATGCTTCAATGTTGTATCCTCTTGTAGAATCTGCTTTGCCCGAAGAAATATTACGAGCCTGGGAGCGGCATCGTTCAAGTAGGTTACTACACACACCCTCAACTTCTACATCGTCAGATATAGTAATTTATAGCAATTTTCTAGAAGAACTTCTTGATTTTCTAAAGGCTGAGGTGGAGAGTGAAGAGAGGCTGGCTCTTGCTCGTTCGAGTTTTAAATCTGCCACTCCAGGAGACAACAGCAAATGCAGTAGCCAAAAGAAAATGTCAACTGTACAGGAAACTCGTCAGAATGAACCCATGGTAGCAGCTCTGTTGACAACTAGTACAGAGGGTCCTAGAAGGTTGGTGGGTAACTGCACTTATTGTTCTAAAGGAGGGCACAATGCTCAAGATTGTTCCTATTTTCAAAAATTAACTTTAGATGGAAGAAAGGAGCATCTGAAAAAGAAAAATTGCTGCTTTGTGTGCTTGAAGCAAGGTCACTCAGCAAAAAAGTGCAAGGTATTTGTCAAATGTCTCTTTTGTTGTAAAAGGCATTATGGAATCATGTGTAGGGACTTATATGAAAGTAGGCCTCGATCTAAAATTGATGTTGACAAACCAGACTTACTGCAGCAAAGTATAACTGAGCCTAAGTCAGAGGTTCTCAGTAATTTTGGAAACGGTACAGGAGAAACTCTATTACAGACTCTATTAGTCAAGGTTGCAGATGAGAAAGGTAAAGAGTATTTGGGAAGAGTACTTTTAGATCCAGGTTCACAGAGGTCCTACATTACTAAAGACTGTGTCACTAAATTAGGTCTAAAAGAAACAGGTAGTGAAGTCATTAATCATAGTTTGTTTGGTGGGGTAAATCTAAAACAAAAATCTCATAAAAATTACCTAGTGACTCTTCAGAATGTAAATAACTCTTTCAAGATATCTATTACTGTGACAGATCAAGAAACTATTTGCAACCATGTACCTAGACTTAAGAGTGAAGAGTATTTTGACATCTTGAAAGAAAAGAACATTATTTTAACTGATGAAGGTGAAAATGTACCAGATGTAAAGATTTTACTTGGTGCAGATGTATTAGTGGATTTGTACACAGGAGCTATCCAGAAGATTGACGATAAACTAGTTGCCATCGAAACGTACCTTGGATGGACCGTGATGGGGAAACAACCATGCAGTGGAAGTCGTAATACGTCTCTACTAACTTTATTTTGCAACAGTAAACCAGAATTCAGAGATCTAGGGAGCTGGGAGACAATCAGAAGAAGGGATCCCATTGGGGTGAAACAGAGAGACTCCATTGATGCGGAAGTGTTTCAACATTTTAAAGAAAATGTAGCGGTGAACGTTGAAAACAGATTTGAAGTCAATTTTTCATCAAGCAAAAGACTAAATACTCCCAACAAATTAAGTGACTGTGTTAGAGAAAATGTTTCAGATCCAGCAGAGTCGACAACGGTTCATCAATTGCTGCATCACCCAGTGACAAAAGACAGTAGCTTAACTACAAAAATAAAGCCAGTGTTTGATGGGTCTACAAAGAACAAAAGAGGTCATTCTTTAAACGAATGTTTTGCAAGAGGTTCAAATTTGGTAAATTTAATTCCATCTCGTGTAATAAAATTCAGAAAGCAGTTGAATTGGAAAACCACGAAACAGAAATTTGAAATACATCAAGTACCTAACTTGGAAGTTAGATCCTCCGAGTGTCCTATGGTGGGGAGATATGTGGAAACAACTTATGAACAGGATGGAACCATCGTCGAAGAGATCAAGATTTAAGAGAGAGTATGATGCAATGGATGTACATATTGAAACAGAAGATAATTCATCAACGGCAACAGAATCAAGAAGAGGGAGGAAGATAAAATTCCCGAGGAAAATGGACTTGTGAACTTAAAGAAATACATATGTAAATAGTTTTGTTTGAAATTTTGATAATGTAAAACAAAATTCCAAGGTGGGGAGGATGTTGGAAATCGAGTTATATTTTATATAGTACAAATTCAATATTGATCAACATCCAATATAATTATTTGCTAGGCTTTGTTTTTAATTAACAGATGGTTTATTTTAATTTATTTAAACAATTGAGAAGAGTTGTGGAAAGAATTTTAAAAGTGATCAAGAACATAACAATTTAGTTAAAGAGAAATGTTATAAAATATTTGTTCTTTATCAGAATTAAATCAGTTCTTTATTAGATAATATTTTGTAAAAGTTCTTTATTTCACGCGAGTTCTAACAGCCTTAAAACTGCATACATCAAAGGGTCACGCTAGCCTTTATCCATAGAGTCATACATCAAAGGGGGCTATTCATACATCAAGCATTGATGTCATGAAAAAGGAAATTTTTCACCATATAATAGCATTTTGTTACTGGGTAAAGGTTGAACATAACTTTGTCAATTATAAATTATATTATTAGGCCTATGAATGTGTCTACTTACAGTATTTTTCACATTGAATCCAAAAATACAATTAGTTTTTGACAGTAAGTATGAATGAAAGACAACATATAACTTTTCAATTCCATGCATAATGGTAGATATTGTAGTTTTTTAATAGTCCTGACCTAACTAAGTTAACTGTCAAAATCCAATAGGCCTACACTGAAAATCAATCTTAAGCTCAAATTTTGTGATGATCACTCCTAGTCTCTGCCTGCGGCCATGAGTCACCACTCTCACCTCTACGTGACAGCATACCTTACTCCCCTCCCCAACCACCCTAAGTTAAAGTTTACCGGTAACTTATTACCTCTGAAGTAATACCTCAAAAATTCCAAATTGTTTACTTCAGTACAACTTTTTTTACTTGAGATGGAAATTCAGAACAGACTGTTGTTGAACTACGCAACCTGTATCCTCTAGTTAAGGAGGAGCCCCCCTTAGGTAATTAGGCCTATAGAAGATATTTTGAGCCCTCCTGTAGCATAAGAACATACCAACTCCCCAGAGCCTTACCTAATACATATATAAGTTACACTAACTTACCCCCTTATAACTCAAAAAGGGGGGGGGGGCAGATAGCGGGATGGCTATTGCTCCGGTATAGGGAAAAATCCCTGCTAAAAATTCCCACTACCCAGAGCCATACGCCTACAGTACCAATGGCGGCAACAAAAAAAGGTAACCAATCAATCGTAGCGATCGATAATAGGATGAGGGTCGGGTACTCAGGCCTATAAAATATTTTGGCTAGGCCTTAGGCCTAGATAAATCTAACACCAAAACTTAACAACACTAAAAGTCTTGCCAATGTTTTATAACACTAATGATAGACTGATTAACTAAAATTATATAAACAATGCTGTGAATTGTACAAGTTTAAGGTTAATCATATTCATATGAAAAAGAACGCCATTTTCGGAATCAGCGTTAAATTTCGAGTAGAATGAAAAAAAATTTCAAAAATCGCGTGCAAACCCTAAAATGCATATTTACCAAATTCCCACTACCCAGAGCCATACGCCTACAGTACCAATGGCGGCAACAAAAAAAAGTAACCAATCAATCGTAGCGATCGATAATAGGATGAGGGTCGGGTACTCAGGCCTATAAAATATTTTGGCTAGGCCTTAGGCCTAGATAAATCTAACACCAAAACTTAACAACACTAAAAGTCTTGCCAATGTTTTATAACACTAATGATAGACTGATTAACTAAAATTATATAAACAATGCTGTGAATTGTACAAGTTTAAGGTTAATCATATTCATAAATGCCTTTCCCTTCTCTCTTCGGAGTAGTGAGGAATATCTAAGATGTGATTCAATTAATGAACTTATAGGCTATTCACTTCATAGGCTACGTGTAGAACAAATCTAAAAAACACTAGAGGTTACAACTTCTTTAAAGTTAACTTATCTCACACCACACAGGCTGTGACGCCTGATTTTAGTAGGTAATAATAGAGGCCCGGGCCCGTGATGTCAAAATGTATAAACAATCACTCTTCACTCACCGTTAATAGAAAGTTAATAGAAATAAATTTAATTATTTATGAATATAGAAAAGGTCTGCTTTCTTCGCGAATCCCGAGCAGAACAGCACAGCAGATAGCAGAAACAGAAAGCAAGCAGAGCAGAGCGTGTGAAGTGAATTGGTCTAAGTTATTTCCTGTATAATTCTAAACCTGTACCTAGTGTACCTGACTCCTAGTCCTAAAAGTGTAGTGTAACTAGTGTAAGGAACTTAAGGTAAGTCCTAACCTCTCTTGTCTTTATCTGTGTTTATCAGCTGCTGTGTTGTGAGAAACATTACATTTCCCGCCTTTCTGTCGCTCCTTGTATAGAGTAAAATTAAACATAAAAGATATCATTATGTATGACCACTGATTATATACTATACAAGTATTTTGTACACTCGTGAGTGCAAATCTACAAAAAATTTGTATTACCAAGTTTATTCTTTTGATTTGGATTTAGACACCAACCATATTATTAGTTATTATTATTAGTTATTTTTAATTGTTATGGTCAAACCTGAAAGGTACCATAACATAATGATTTCTACACGGCCACGAGGGGTGATCGATCTCCATCGCGCAAGACAATGGTAATGTCCACAAGCAGCAACAAGCTTTTCTGGTATCTAGGACCACGGTATCAGAAAAAAATCAAAAATAGCTCAAGCATTCGTTATGATACATTATTATTGAGTGGAGCGAGCGAAGATCTTGCTCTTACTACTACCATTGGATACATACTACTATACTATAACCTAGGTTATAGTGGTAATAAGGTTATACAGTAGTATGTTTTCTGTACTACTACACAGGCGGCCGTGACTACGCTCCTGTTTTTTTAGAATGAAATTTTTAAAATTGAAATTGAAATGTTGCAATAAAATGAGTGGCCATTTCAATTAACATCACTACACTTGCGACTTTGTCAATTAATTGTACCAGGCCGTGGCGCGGCCTGGAGTTATTTGGCCGTGATAATATACAACACAATGAATAGCCAATGAGAGACCATGACTATGCACAAGTGACTTTCCTGCAAATAGACACCCCATTTACGTGAACCAGATGTACCATTGACTTTGAAATCTGCATCAATTACTGTGGGCTAGACATCCTATTTACGTGAACAAGTTGTTTCATGTTTACTTTGTATACTATAAGTATACATCCCATTTACGTGAAAAGGATATAGCACTGACTTTGTATGATGAAAGTATAGACATTCCATTTTTGTGAACCGGACCCCATTTTGAACGATCAATTCGTGGTTACACATTAAAAGTATTGGATATGCTTGCTCCGCTCAAACACCTATAGCTATAGGTGTTATAGGTGCTATATAGCATACGATTTGCCTGCATAATACTTGAAAATACATAGGCTATATTACCTACTCCAACTATTTTATTGTTGAAATGAAATATATAATTGCTTGGATTAAATAATGTTGATTATACATTAACATCCCTCTAATGGGAAGATGTGTAATGGGGAGATGTACCTTATATAATGAATGATTGAATATATGCTGTTATAGAGTTGACATTCCATTGAAATGTACTATAAGTCCACATATTACGTAACGCAATTTTCGCCATTTGAAACCACTCTCCTCCATCGTGACTCTGCATAAGGAAGCCTAAACCCATGTGGGTTGTGAAAATCTAGGTTAAATTTTCTCCTAAAGTCAAAACAGGTTTTTAAAATTGGTTTTGAAGTAATGTTATTAATAAAAACAAACACTTTTAGAACAATACAAATTATGTTAACTTATGAATATGTTTACCTAAAATACTGTTTATTAAATAACTTTATTATTTTGGCACTTTGGAAGAATAGATTTTAAGTGCCTTACCATAACGATATTGAAAACCCCCCTCACCCATAGAAAATCAAAAAGAGCGAACAAAAGGTGAAGGCCATTTTCAACAGAACATGAGAACAGCGTGAGGCAGAGTTTAATTAAACAACTATTAAAAAAAAATACTTAAGTATCTGTAGCTCAAACTAAAATAACAGAACATAAAAGAACACGCAAATGGTGGTAAGAATATAATTAATCAATGCTATAATGAGAATGGAAGCGGAAGCACTACATGAGTTGATTGGGTGGGTTCCATAATATCGACAACCGTAGAAATTGATCGAAACTGAATTATTCCCAGTTTGTCGACACTGGAATATTCCCACTTAACCGACATCCCAAATAACCGACGTCGCAAACGATCGACACCACAAATTGTCGACATCCCATATTGTCGACAATGAAATAGTTTCACTATGTCGACACTGAAATAGTCCCAGTATATCGACAAGCACCCGTTCTTCGGAGCTACTCTTGAAAAGGAGTTGTTCTAATTCATCGTTCAGTTCCTCAACTCATGAGTCGTATCGTAATATTTGTTGATTCCGAAATCCGAATTCCGACGGACATCTTCAAGCTGGCCATTTATTGACTAAAAACTTTTATATTGTAAATAAGTTATTTATCTTTTTTATTTCTTTCCTTGTTTACAAGAAAATAGATGACTCGAGTGTTACAAACAATAGTTTGGAATAATGTGAAATAAGTTAATTTTTATAGGATAGAAAACTTAATCAACATGATAACTTATTAACATTAAGAAGTAGTCCTACCAGACACTAACTTAGGTAAGTCACCAACAAGAACCTAAGATACCTTACAGCTTATTCGTAGGCTAATTCTGGATCATCAAGCAATATTGTAGCAAATGTTTGAATAGGCATTATCCCTAGGCTATTAGGATTGTCTCTTTTTCCCACTGACCCAGTGTCAACTTTAAGAATTTGTAAAAATATTTGGTTGCACTTTAGTTTATGTCCTACATTCATTCAAATGAAAGATATTAATACATAGGCTATTTAATATTTTGAATATTTCATTCCGTTAGGTTAGGTTTTACCCTAACATTACCCAAAATTGATCTAGGCCTAAGTTTATTGAATTAAATAATCAATATGACTGGGACGGGTGGGGTCGTCCTGTAATCCAGCTACTAGGAGGTCACGAATTGTGGATATTTATAGGCATGCACTGTGGATGCGATACTCCCTGGTGTGGATTAACGTCCGCACTAGTGAGTACTAAGACTATCCGCAGTACTATCCTGATAATTAGACCAATTCGTATATACCAAGGCAATAATGTGGTTTGGATTCCACTATAAACCGTAGGTCCCTTAGTTGCCATTAGCTGTATGGGCTATTATTTAACAGCTGTGTTTAAGGAATGTTGGCCTTAGTCACTAACAAGACTATACAAGATCGCGCCACTCATCCTACACTCATTTCCATTCATACTTGGCTTAAAATACGGTACCTACTTTGTATGGTCGCCAAGTAAGAAAGAAAGTATTAAAGAAATGTATTCATTGGAATGAGTGTAGGACGTAAAATTATGTGCTGTCAAATATTCTAGAGCTGTTTGTATTTGGCGTAAGACTAGACTTGGATTATGTAATTCATTGCTCATGACATCAATGTTAATTGTTAATTTTATAGATGATCCTGGAGCAAAGGCTTTAATTTGACCTGAACCCAAATTGGTCTCTATTTTAAATATTGTCTTGAACCAATAAGTTAAGAGGACTAACCTTTCTGGACGACATTGCCATTGACATCACTGCAGATGAGAGAGAAAGAGAGACCAGAGTTGTGGACCCTGGAGGCAATTACCATACTGCCATGATAATGTTACTTGGTCTAACCATAACTTAAGTGAGGTGAGTCAACATTCTTTCCCCTTTGTGAAAGTGCAAACTGCCTTTGCTGCACTCGAGAAACTTTCCACACTCGCCTACGGCTCGTGCGTAAACATTTCTCTTATGTGTAGCAAAGTGCCACTTCGCCCACTAGTTACCTAGTAGGTAGGTAGTAGTAGTTACCTACACAAAACTAACTATTATTAATAGTTTTATTGGAACATAAGGATAATTAATTATAATCTTTATGCAAATTTATAGTTTTTTTATAAAAATTTAAAACTAGGCCCTACTTAAAATGTATTTGGATACATCTCGAAACATGTTGTTTGGAAATGTCTTAATTAGGCTAGAGCTTGCATTTTTGCAAATTGGGAAATAACAAATAATTAATGTTTAACACGTTCGCTACCGAGCGACGCACATATGCGTTGGTCCGGTCACTCCTACAGACCAAAAGGAATGATCATGACGTTGCTTACAGACCAAGTGATATAGGAATAACATTGCCAACAGACCAAAAGAGAAATATCGTTTAGATGGACAAATTTACTTCATATTAACCTTAAGTGAATTAGTAAGCAATAAATATTGTTTTTATTTATCGTTTTTAACAAATTTTAAAACGCTGCATATATGAGTTGGTCAGTCTATTTAATGAAATCTAGATAAAAAGATTACCTACATTTTCGTTTCAATAGACCAGGCGACACACGTTTAAGCGTCGTTGTAAATTTGGTTGTTTCAAGCTTTTACACAAACAAATAAAGAAACTCCACCACTCGCCAAAACTGCAAAGGTTATAACCTTTACATCTGTTCTGAGATGTCGCGGAATGCACAATGTAAACAACAATGTTGCCAACTGTTGTGTGGCGTAACCAATCGTCATATCCACAGACCAAGCGACGCACATTTGCGGCAGATATCCCTCTAGACCGATACGATAAAATCAGGGCTTTAAAATAGACCGTTGCTAAGAAATTCGCGGATTAACCCTCCGAGTGTTATTTATCGCTGCAGCGACTCACAAACACTGTTTACGGCGAAGGCTCTATGACTGACAAAATCGGATTGAACTGGATCGAGTTAGGTATCGTTTTATTTGACAGATTCAGACCTTTCTCCGGAGGTCTGTCTCTAAGCGCTATTCATTTTAGTTCCGAATATTGTAGCAGACAGCTGACGTGCGTATTTGTTAACAGCTTGGTTAACCTCGGACCGATGACTGATGTGTTTTATTACGTTTATCATTGTTTTAGTGTTAAAATCAAAAGTAGTGATATACGTGGTGC